CTATTCTATTCTATTCTATTCTATTCTATTCTATTCTATTCTATTCTTCTCTGAGTAATTTAAATGGAAGATTGTGGTGAGCTCCAGGTCTGTTTTTGGCGGAGGGGCAACTAACCTCTTTTGCCAACTCTTCCTTCGCCAGCTGCAACCTGACCTGCCCAACTGGCCACTACGGTGCAAACTGTGCTGAGCTGTGCAACTGCCACAAGGACTCCTGCAACCCCTTCACCGGCCTGTGCCACATGGGTAAGTCCCTGGCCAGCCTCCCCGCAAACCTTCCTGCCCCATCTGGGTAGGGGAGGTGCCAGGCCAGGTTCAGAAAGCGGATGCAACAGCCTCCTCACAGTCTCGCAGCTGCCATCTTGCTTTTTTTTCAGCACACTCTGCAACACACACACACACACAGACACACACACATATACACAAACACACATCTCACTTTGCAAGGCCAGCTGGCTTGTGGCTTCCTCTGCCTACTGACTCTGGCCAACCTCTTTCCTCCCCAGAGGCGAACCAGCGGATGGGAGTCATTGGCGCCGGAGTCCTCCTGATCTTCCTGCTTTGCCTCCTCTCGTTGTTGTCCTGCTGTTGCATTTGCCGCAAGAAGGATCAGGCCCGGGAGTGAGTACCCATGGTGGGGAGGGGGCACCTCGGGGGGGAGGGTGTGAGCAGAAGGAGGGAAGCTGCAGAAATCCAGAAAAGAGCCCTGGCTGGAAAAGGGTGCCAGGACGAGGGAGGAAGGGTGGACCAGGGGGGCACTTCCATCTGGCACAGCTTCCCTTAAAGGCAAAGGTTCCCCTGGCACATCCATGCTAGTCATTCCTGGCTCTAGTGGGTGCTGCTCAGTGGTGGGATTCGGCCAGTTCACACCACTTGGGAGAACCAGTTATTAACTTTCTGAGCAGTTCGGTGAATTGGTTGCTGGAAGAAATCATTAGGGTGGAGAACCGGTTGTTAAATGATTTGAATCCCACCGCTGGCGGTGCTCATCTCCGTTACAAAGCCGAAGAGCCAGCGCTGTCCGACGACGTCTCCATGGTCATGTGGCCGGGCATGAGTAAACACCTTCAAAGGCGCACGGAACGCTGTGACCTTCCCACCAAAGTGTCAGCGTTCCGGAAAACCTCCACTCCAACAAATAACTCCGAGGCAGACATCCTCTCCAAGGTTCTTTTTATTAGAGTAGTAAACTGGCACATCTGGGGAATCCCGAATCTGAAAGTTCCAGGTTTCCTTGCAATAAGTAAAAAATGACAAATTCACCCCCTGCACCCATCATCGCATCACATGCCCCAATCTACATCCGTCCCAACTTGAGACGTCCTCTCACCCAGGTGCAGAAAGGACATGACCTTGACTTAGGAGAAGAATGCTATTATGTCTAACTATATACGCTCCAAGAAATTCCCCCCTCCCATTTTCCCAGGCTCAAGATTGTGGCAGCGTGGAAGCATCTGGGGCTAATATGGCTTCCAAAGCGGTCCCTATTTTTCTACTTGCATTTTTTAATGTGTTTTCAAACTGCTCGGTTGGCAGAAGCTGGGACCAGTAAGAGGAGCTCACTCTGTTAGCGCGGCGCTGGGGATTCGAACCACTGAACTGCTGGCCTATCTGATCAACAAGCTCAGTTTGTCTTAGTCCTGAGCCACCACGTCCCTTAGTTTAGTTAATTGTTAGCTTATGAAAATGGAAAGCTTAGGAAAATGGAAAGTTTAGGAAAGCTTAGCTGCCCAAGTTCCTGAGAATAATTATGGATAGTCCTTGACTTATGACCACAATGGAGCCCAACGCTTCTGCTGTTAAGCAAAAACAGTTCAGTTACTCTTTTTTTGCCTTATTTTAGAACCATTCTTGCCAGTGTTGTTAAGTGAACCACTGCAGTGGTTAAATTAGTCACACAGCTGTTAAGCCCACCTGGCTTTTCCATTGACCTTGTTGTGAGAAGTCTCAAAAGGGGATCCCAGGATCCCAGAACCGTCATAAATGTGAGTTGGTTGCCAAAGTGCCTGAATTTTGATGGCGTGAACCTGGGGATGCAGCAGCGGTCAAAAGGGTGAAAAATGGTCATAACTCACTTTTTCGGGGATGTCCAAACTTCAAATGGCCACTAAGCGAACTGCTGTAAGTCAAGGACTCCCTGTAATCAATGAAAGAGCTTCACTCCCAGAGTTGTGGGTGCTCCATCACTGGATGTTTTCAAGCAAAGTTTGGACAACCATTTGTCCAGAAGGTTTGGACTTCCCCTTGCCCAGAATTCCCCTTGCTGCCCGGGAGAATTATGGATATTGAAGTCCAAACGTCTTGAAGTGGACAAGGTTGGAAAATCCTGCTTCATTCCATCCGCAGCTGTAGGTGTCACTTTCCCCTGCCCCAAATTACAGCGCCTCCCCCCGAACTCACCTTGACAGGTAAGATAAGTGATATGCAGGGAAGTCTTAGACGGAAGGAGCAAATTATAAAGATGCAATGCCGTATGACGCCCCCCCCCCCCCACAACATATTGAGACCTGCGGTGGCACACTGGTTAGAAGGCAGTATTGCAAGCTAATTCTGCAGACTGCTAGCAGTTCGATCCTGACCGGCTCAAGGTTGACTCAGCCTTCCGTCCTTCCGAGGTCGGTATAATGAGGACCCAGATTGTTGGGGGCAAGTGACTGACTGTGTAAACCACTTAGAGAGGGCTGGAAAGCACTGTGAAGCAATTGCTATCCTTCCTTCCCTTCCTTCCTTCCTTCCTTCCTTCCTTCCTTCCTCCCTCCCTCCCTCCCTTCCTCTCCCTCCCATCTTTCTCCCTTCCTTCCCTCCTCTCTCCCTCCCATCTCTTTCTCCTTCCTTCCTCTCTCCCTCCCATCTCTTTCTCCCTTCCTTCCTTCCTCTCTCCCTCCCATCTCTTTCTCCTTTCTTCCTCCCTCCATCCCTCTCTCCCTGCCATCTTTTTCCTTCCTTCCCTCCTTTCTCCCTGCCATCTCTTTCTCCTTCTTTCCTTCCTTCCTCTGTCCCTCCCATCTCTTTCTCCTTCCTTCTTTCTCTCCTCTCTCCCTCCCATCTTTCTCCTTCCTTCCTTCCTCTGTCCCTCCCATCTCTTTCTCCTTCCTTCCTCTGTCCCTCCCATCTCTTTCTCCTTCCCTCCTCTCTCCCTCCCATCTCTTTCTCTTTCCTTCCTTCCTTCCTTCCTTCCTTCCTTCCTTCCTTCCTTCCTTC